ACGTTTTTTCGATTTTAAAATGTTTTTACTTTTCGTTCTTTGTTTCAAGTTTTCGATTTCTCGATTTTTCAACATTTCAATTTTGAGAATGTCCATATTTTTCAGTTTTGTGATATTTTCATTTTTCAACTTTTTAAATTTTGATTTTTCGACTTACCGGAAATCGATTTTTGGGATTTTCAATTTTTCGACTTTTCAGTTTTGAGATTTTTCAATTTGTCGATTTTTTAGTTTTTCATTTCTTCAGTTTTTCGGTTTTTCAAGTTTTCGAATTTTTAAATTTAAAATTTTTCAATTTTTCGATTTTATTTTTTTACGTTCCGATTTCCCGATTTAAATTTTTTTTATGCTTTTCAATCTTTGGTTTTTCTAAATTTTCATTTTTCCATTTCTCAATTTCTCGATTTTTCGACTTTTTGATTTTGTGTTTCTTTTAATGTTAAATTTTTCGTTATTGTAATTTTTCTATTTTTTAAATTTTAGACATTTAGATTTTTCGACATCTTGAATTCTCGATCTTTTTTCAGTTTGAATTCCTCGGTTTTTCGATTTTCCAAAATTTCGACTTTTCAGTTTTGAAAATTTTCGATTTCTCGATTTTTCAGTTCTTGATTTTCCTACTTTTAGATGTTTCAAATTTTAGAGTTTGCAATTTTCACGAGTTTTCAGTTTTTATTTTCGTCAATTTTTCGATTTGCATTTTTTCGTGTGGGTTTTTAATTTTCTGTATTTTTTCAATTTTCGGCTTTCAATTTTCCGTTTTTTTAATTTTTCATTTGCAATTTTTCTAGTTTTCATTTTAATTATAACACTCCTAATAATTATAATTTTTAAAGTTGTTCACTTTTTCAGTTTATCGTTTTTGGAATTTTTCAATTTTTCGGTGTTTGAATGTCACAGTTTTTGGACTTTACAATTTTCAAGATTTTATAATTTTTCGATTTTACAATTTTTGGATTTTCCAAGTTTTCAATTCGAATGGTTTTTCTTTTTTCCCGTTCCTCGATTCATTATTTTTTTTTAGATTTTTAAGTTTCTCGGTTTTTAGTTTTTCATTGTTTCAATTTTTTCGAGTTTTTAACTTTTCGAATAAACAAAATCGAAAAATTATAAAATAGAAAAATTGTAAAACTGAAAAAGTACAAAATGAAAGCTTCGAAACATAAAAAAATTGGAAATCAAAGATTGAAAATGTAAAAAATTGAATAAACAAAAAATTATAAAATCCAAAGAAACATTGAAAAAATAAAGATAATGGAAAAATGAAAAATTGTGATATAAAATCAAGAAAATGAAAATTACAAAATCGGAAAAATGAAAATATCGAAAATCTGAAAAATATAGAAACTGAAAAATTCCCAAAATTGCGATGTTTAAAATTGAGATAGCGAACACTTAAAAATCCAGAAATCGAAAAATTTTTAAAACTGGAAAATTGAGATATGGGAAATCAAAAATTCCAAAAATGGAAAAATTGAAACACACTAAAAAATTTAAATCGGGAAATCGAAACATAAAGATTATAAAAGGGAAAAATGAATAATTTAAAAAATCGAAAATTTAAAATATATACTAGAAAAATCGAAAATTTTGAAAATCGAAAAACCAAGAAATCGAAATCGAAAACTTGAGACTTCAAAAGATCGAGAAATCGAAATAGGCCGAAATCGGAAAATTCAAAATTGAAATATTTACTTAAAAAAAAGATAAACGGAAAAATCGAAAAACTCAAAAAAATCGATAAACCTAGATATGAGAAACAGAAAATTCCAAAAATCGAAAAATTGAAATACAGATTAAAAAGTTTAAAAAATCGAAGTTAAAAAATCGTAAAAACAAATTGCATTCGATTTTCCGTTTTATCGATTTTGCAATTTTTTGTTTCTTCAATTTTTTACAATTTTTTAATTTTCCGATTTTTCAATTTTTCGAATTTTCTGCTTTCCGAATAAACAAAATCGAAAAATTATCAAAATAGAAAAATTGTAAAACTGAAAAAGTACAAAATGAAAGCTTCGAAATATAAAAAAATTGGAAATCAAGAACTTAAAAAATCAAAGATTGAAAATGTAAAAAATTGAATAAACAAAAAATTATAAAATCCAAAGAAACATTGAAAAAATAAAGATAATGGAAAAATGAAAAATTGTGATATAAAATCAAGAAAATGAAAATTACAAAATCGGGAAAATGAAAAAATCGAAAATCTGAAAAATATAGAAATTGAAAAATCCCAAAATTGCGATGTTTAAAATTGAGATAGCGAAAACTTAAAAATCGAGAAATCGAAAAATTTTTAAAATTGGAAAATTGAGATATGAGAAATCGAAAATTCCAAAAATGGAAAAATTGAAACACACTAAAAAATTTAAATCGGGAAATCGAAACATAAAGATTATAAAAGGGAAAAATGAATAATTTAAAAAATCGAAAATTTAAAATATATACTAGAAAAATCGAAAATTTTGAAAATCGAAAAACCAAGAAATCGAAATCGAAAACTTGAGACTTCAAAAGATCGAGAAATCGAAATAGGCCGAAATCGGAAAATTCAAAATTGAAATATTTACTTAAAAAAAAGATAAACGGAAAAATCGAAAAACTCAAAAAAATCGATAAACCTAGATATGAGAAACAGAAAATTCCAAAAATCGAAAAATTGAAATACAGATTAAAAAGTTTAAAAAATCGAAGTTAAAAAATCGTAAAAACAAATTGCATTCGATTTTCCGTTTTATCGATTTTGCAATTTTTTGTTTCTTCAATTTTTTACAATTTTTTAATTTTCCGATTTTTCAATTTTTCGAATTTTCTGCTTTCCGAATAAACAAAATCGAAAAATTATCAAAATAGAAAAATTGTAAAACTGAAAAAGTACAAAATGAAAGCTTCGAAATATAAAAAAATTGGAAATCAAGAACTTAAAAAATCAAAGATTGAAAATGTAAAAAATTGAATAAACAAAAAATTATAAAATCCAAAGAAACATTGAAAAAATAAAGATAATGGAAAAATGAAAAATTGTGATATAAAATCAAGAAAATGAAAATTACAAAATCGGGAAAATGAAAAAATCGAAAATCTGAAAAATATAGAAATTGAAAAATCCCAAAATTGCGATGTTTAAAATTGAGATAGCGAACACTTAAAAATCGAGAAATCGAAAAATTTTTAAAATTGGAAAATTGAGATATGAGAAATCGAAAATTCCAAAAATGGAAAAATTGAAACACATTAAAAAATTAAAATCGGGAAATCGAAACATAAAAATTATAAAAGGGAAAAATGAAAAATTTCAAAAATCGAAAATTTAAAATATATACTAGAAAAATCGAAAATTTTGAAAATCGAAAAACCAAGAAATCGAAATCGAAAACTTGAGACTTCAAAAGATCGAGAAATCGAAATAGGCCGAAATCGGAAAATTCAAAATTGAAATATTTACTTAAAAAAAAAAAATAAACGGAAAAATCGAAAAACTCAAAAAAATCGATAATCCTAGATATGAGAAACAGAAAATTCCAAAAATCGAAAATTTGAAATACAGATTAAAAAGTTTAAAAAATCGAAGTTAAAAAATCGTAAAAACAAATTCCATTCGATTTTCCGTTTTATCGATTTTGCAATTTTTTGTTTCTTCAATTTTTTCCAATTTTTTAATTTTCCGATTTTTCAATTTTTCGCATATTCTACTTTCCGAATAAACAAAATGGAAAAGTTATAACATAGAAAAATTGTAAAATTGAAAACTCAAAATGAAAAAACGCAAAAGTATAAAATGAAGGCTTCGAGAAATCTAAAAACTTGAGAAATTGAAGAAACGGAAAATTCAAAAATCGAAAGATTAAAAGTTGAGAAACTTCAAGATCGAAAAATTGCGGTCGAAAACACGAAAATTATTGTAAAATCTAAATATTGAAAATTGGAAAATCGATGAATTGAAAATGTGAAAAATTGGATAAACGAAAAATTGTGATATAAAATCCAAAAAATGAAATTTAAACAATCGGGAACATGGTATAAAAAAAGAAGAACTCGAAACAACGTCATTACGCCGAATATGTTCATTGCGCTACACATAACTTCAATTTAGTCCTTAATGATTCTGTTAAGAATGTACCAGGAATTTCCGCATTTTATGATTTAATAAATGCTATATACGTCTATTTCAGTGAGAGTTTACCGAGATGGCAACAACTTAACATTGAGATGAAAGAAAATGATAAGTGTGTTATAAAAAAAACTTTAAAAAAGTTATGCCCCACCAGATGGTCATCGAGATTTGATTCTCTAATTGCCATTAGATATAATCTCTCAACAGTTATGAGCTGAAATTATTTTAACATCAAAAAAAAAGTGAAATAGATGAAGATGTAGCTCTTCGTAAAAAAATGGATTCATTTGAATTTGTTGCTCTATTAGTATTTCAATGCAAAATTTTAGAAAATGTTAATTTGGTCTCAAAAACTTTACAGAGCTCAAATATTACTTTAGATGAGGCTTGTAAATGGATGGAACATCTAAAAGACAAATTTCAAAGTATACGTGACAATTTTGAACAAATAATGGAGGAATCAAGGAAATGTGCTGATACCTGGAAAATTAACAATTCTTTTTCAAATAAACGTATAAAAAAAGTAAAACTGTTTCATGACGAATTATGTGAAGATACCGTTTTCAAAGATCCCACTGAAAAATTTAAAACAACCGTTTTCTATCCAGCTCTTGATATTTTAAATATTAAAATTAAAGATAGGTTTGAAAGCATGAAAAACGTCAGAAACTATTTTTCTTTTCTGGAACCACAGGAAATGTTGAATAGTACAGACGAAGAATTTGTGGAGGCAGCATCAAAGTTGGCAAATAAATACGAAGAAGATATTTCTAGTGTAATTTGTGGGCAAATCGTTAGTTTTAAAAACATTGTTGTTGGTGAAATTATTCAGCAAAAAATAACTAAAATTACAGATATTCCTATTTTTTCGTGTTATTTTACTTACGAAGAATGGTCTGGTCGCGTTGGCGCTGAGTCCCACTTGGAACAAGCTCAAGTTTCCATCCGAGTCGGCGACGCCGAATTTGTTCCCGTGTTGAGAGAACCTCACCCTGGTGACCTTTGCGTAGGTACCCGGGGGTCTGGGGGTGGCGACGGGTTGCTGGTGGCCCCACTCCCACAACTGTACTGAGCCATCTTGGCCGCCGGTTAAATCTAAAGAGCTTAAGTCATTTCGGGCTTAACTAGTAACCGTAAACTTACAAAGTGGAAGTAAAGGATGGGCGCTGATTCTTCTAACTCCGTCAATTTTATGTTTTAACACCTACGAAAAGCACAATTAGTATCTTACAAAGAGTCTGAAGCGATTTTCGTGTTACATGCTTTTTAGCAAAGTACCTATCTGCTTTGTGATAGGGCCGTTTCTAAGCGACTTAACTAAAGTCACTTATGCCGATTGTTGTAGTGCGTGTTAGTCAGCATTGCAGGTGAAGCTGGCGCGGAAAAATAAATAACGACCTAAGTAGGTTTAATGCTAAGTTTGGTGTGTAAATACATGTGTTATCGATGTTTCAGCGCGCCGCTGCACCTGTCAGTGTATTCACAACGATACTTCTGGCAAATAATTTATGAACACACCATATATCGATCTAGTAAAGATTTTAAAAAATACAAAAACGAAATACTGTGTTGTTGCTTTTTAAAAATGAATCTACTGTATTGTTTTGTTTTCTTTGTTTATTCAAACTTAAAAATCGATTCAATGAAACTAAAAATAACTAAATCATACCGCAACAACATGCTACGAAAAAAGGAGATAAAAATCGTACGAGATGCAAATTGATAATAAAGGTTATCATGAATGGAAATGGTGAACTAGCAGAATTCTTTTAATATATGTATTTATCACAGAAATTTAACGATACGTAACTATATAAACATGTGGAAAAAAGTTAAAAATATTGTATGGTACTTCACGAGCGGAAGTATTACTTGGCTACTTTTATGTTTTTTAGACAATGTTACTTACATTTTGTAAAATAAGGTACTCCTACACTAGTGGTTTATGAATCCGTGTTGAAAAATCAAAATTGTATAACAAGGTTTTCTAATTTAACACTGAAACGGTAAACGTTTTAAGGTTATCGTAAGAATGGTAACTCGTTAATTAAAATTGTTTCTTTTTTTTGCGTAATTACAAACACCTGCATATGTGATTTATGAATCCGTGGTGAGTTTTTACCCTAGACGTCCAGATTTTTGAGAAAATAATCAAAATTTTATAACATTCTATGACTTAAACTGCAAAACCCGATGATTTGAAACGGTTTAATTTTTCGATTTTTCAAACATTTGATTCGTCGAATTTTAGATCACTCGATTTTCACTTTCCCGAGTTTTTTTTTAGATTTTTGGATTTCCGATTTTAGATTTTTAGGTTTGTTCATTTTTCGAAATTCAATTTTCAATTTTTTTATTTTTTGCTTTTTCAATTTCCCGATTTTTCGAATTTTCGATTTTCCGCTTTTTCGACATTCAAATTTTCACTGTTTCCTTTTCGATTTCTTGATTTTTCAGTTTTTCGGTTCTTCGACTTTTCAATTTTTCCATTTTTAAATTTTTATAGTTCAATTTTTTACTTTTCGATTTTTAGATTTTCGAATTTTTTGTTTTTCGATTTTTCGGATTTTCATTTTTCAAACTTTTGATTAATCGAATTTTCAATTTGTTTCCTTTTCGATTTCTCGAGTTTTCAGTTTTTCAATTTTTCAAATTTTCGAATTTTAGATTTTTTGATTTCTCGAGTTTTTGATTTTCAATGCTCGATCAAAATCTTTCTTTCTACTTTTCGATTTATCAATTTTTACATTCTTCAATTTTAGACTTCAATTTTTTCTACTTTTCGGTTTATCGAGTTGCCAACTTTTACGTTCTTCAGTTTTTCTACTTATTTTTTTCAAATTTTCGAATTTTCGATTTTTGATACTCCGTATTTTGGATTTATCGATTTCTACATTCTTCAGTGTTTAGACTTCAATTTTTTACTTTTGGGCTTTGCGAGTTTTCAATTTTTCCATTCTTCAGTTTTTCAATTTTTCTAATTTTTCACTTTTCGCTTTTTCAATTTCTCGATTTTTCAAGTTTTCGACTTACCGATTTTCGAATTTTCGTTTTTGCGAATACATATTTGATTCATTGAATTTTCGATTTTTAGATATTTCGAGTTTTCGATATTACTAATTTTTAATTTTCGAAATTTCGAATTTTCAATTTTTTTTAATATTGATTTTTGGTTTTTCAATATTTCCATTTTTTGACTTTTCGATTTTAGAATTTTCGATTTTTCGAAATCTCGATTCTGGAATTTTTCGCAGTTTCCTTTCTTCGAACATTTGATTAATCGAGTTTTAAAATTTTTCGAATTTTCAATTTGTTCCATTTTCGACTTATTTAATTTTCGACTTTGGAATTTTCGATTTTTTGACTTTCGATATTTCTTTTTTTCTATATTTCGCTTTTTTATTTTTCAATTTTTTGATTTCTCGAGTTTTAGATTATCGATACTCAAATTTTGAATCGTTCTACTTGCTAGTTTCTAACGAATTTTCGATTTTTCAGTTTTTAAATTTTCAGTTTTGGACTTTTTTTTTACTTTTCGGTTTCTCGAGTTGTGAATTTTTCCAAAATTCAGTTTTTAAATTTTTCAAAATTTTCACTTTCGGCTTTTTCAACTTTTCGATTTTTTAAGTTTTCAACTTTCGGTTTTTTAAATTTTCCATTTTTCGATATTTTGAATCATGAGATTTTACAAATTTTCAATTTTTGAATTTTTTTAATATGGATTTCTCAATTTTTCAGTGTTTCACTTTTCGACTTTTCGATTTTTAAATTTTCAAAATTTCCGATTTTTCGGAATTTCGTTTCTTCGAACACTTGATTAAACGTGTTTTCAGTTTGTCGATTTTTGAATTTTCAATTTGTTCCATTTTCGATTTTTGATTTTTTAAATTTTTGATTATTCAATTTTCTCATTCTTGGTTTTTTTAGACTTTAATTTTTTTACCCTTCAATTTTTCGATATTCAAATTTTCATTTTTTTTATTTTTCAGTGTTTTTACTTTTCGCTTTTTCTTTTTCAACTTCTCGATATTTCAATTTTTGGAATTTCCAGATTTTTTTAAATTCGATTTCTCGAATTTCGATATTTAGATTCTTGAATTTTTGGAAATCTCGATTTTCGAATTTCTGATTTTTCGGTTTTTCAAATTGTCGGATTTTCGTTTTTTCGAATACATATTTGATTATTTGAATTTTCAATTTGTTTCTGTTTCGATTTCCCGATTTATCAATCTTTAATTCGAATTTTCTCAATTTTTGTTTTTTCGTTTTTTTGATTTCTAGAGTTTCAGATTTTCGTTACTCGAATTTTCAATCTTCCTACTTGTCGAATTTTCGACTTATCAATTTTTCTATTTTTGAGTTTTTCGATTTTTCATATTTTGAACTTTTCGCTTTTCCAATTTCACGATTTTTTAATTTTTCGATATCTCGAATATTCGATTATACAAATTTTTCGAAATTTGTAATTTTCAATTTTTTTAATATTGATTTCCCGATTTTTCAATTTTTTCATTTTTCAACGTTTCGATTTTTCGAATTTTTAATTTTGTTAGTTTTTGGATTTTGAGATTTTCGAATTTTTCGATATTCGAATTTTCAATTCTTCCAACCTTTTAGACTTGATGTTTTTACCTTTCCATTTTTCGATATTCATATTTTCAAATTTTTTCTTCGATTTTTGATTTTTTTAATTTCGATTTCTCGATTTTTCAATTTGTTTATTTTACGACTTTTCGATTTTTCGATAGTTCGTTTTTTCTATATTTTGATTCTTGAATTTTTGGAAATCTCGATTTTCGAATATTCGATTTTTCGATTTTTCAATTTTTAGATTTTTGAATTCTGTTTTTTCGGTGATTGATTTTTAAAATTTTTGATTTTTCAATTTTCCGATTCTTAACTTTTTAGACGTTATTTTTTTACTCTTTGATTTTTCGATATTCAGTTTTTCACTTTTTCTAATTTTACTTTTTTGAGTTTCTGAATCTTTCAATTTTTCGGCTTCTTGACTTTTCGATTTCTCGATCTTTTGATGTTTCGATTTCTCAGTTTTTATACTTTTCGGCTTTTCCATTTTTTCAATTTTTGGACTTTAACCCTTGGATTCTTCAATTTTTCGATTTTTAAATGTTTCGAATTTTCGATTTTAGAATTTTAAATTTTTCGACTTTCGAATTTTTGATTTTTCGCTTTTCCAATTTCACGATTTTTTAATTTTTCGATATCTCGAATTTTCGATTGTACAAATTTTCAATTTTCGAAATTTCGAATTTTCAATTTTTTTAATATTGATTTCCCGATTTTTCAATTTCTTCATTTTTCGACTTTTCGATTTTTCGAAATCTCGATTTTCGAATTTTTAATTTTTTGGTTTTGGATTTTTCGGAATTTCGTTTTTTCTATATTTTGGTTCTTGGATTTTTGGAAATCTCGATTTTTGATATTTGATTTTTCGGTTTTTTAATTTTTAAATTTTTAAATTCTGTTTTCGGATTTTTCAGATCTTCGTTTTTTCAAACTTGATTAATCGATTTCTGAATTTGTTTTCCTTTTAGATTTCCCAATTTTTCAGTTTTTCAATTCTTCAAATTTTCGATTTATCGATTTTTAAATTCTTCAGTTTTTAGACTTCAGTTTTTTTACTTTTGTGTTACAGTTTTTCAATTTTTAAAATTTTTCACTTTTGCTTTCTCAATTTCTAGATTTTAAATTTTTTTCGACTTTCCGATTTTTCGAATTTTCGTTTTTTCTTTTTTGCGATTTTGCAAATACTTATTTTCATTAATCGAATTTTGAATTTTTCGAATTTTCGATTTTATAAATTACAAATTTTCGAATTTTTTGTTTTGTTTTTCAATTTGTAGATTTTTGAATTTTCCGATTTTTACGAATTTCGTTTCTTCGAACATTTCATTAATCGAATTTTCAATTTTTCCATTCTTAAGTTTTTAGACTTTTCGAAATCCAAATTTTAATTTCTTTGTTCGATTTTCAATATTTCGATTTTTGAATTTTCGATTTTCCGGATTTTCGTTTTTTCATTCATTAAATTTTCAATTTTTTGATAATCAAATTTTCAATTTCTTTTTCGATTTCACGACTTTCCAATTCTTGGATTTTTCGAATTTTCAGTAACTGTCGATTGTCAACGAATCTTCGATTTTTCGATTTTTATATTTTTTAGTTTTAGTTTATTTTAATTTTTTTTTACTTTTCGCTTTTTCAATTTCTCCATTTTTCAAGTTTTGACCTTCCGATTTTCGAATTTTCGTTTTTGCGAATACATATTTCATTCATTAAATTTTCCATTTTAGGAAATCCCAATTTTGGAATTTTGTATTTTTAATTAATCGAGTTTTAAAATTTTTGGATATTCGAATTTTCAATTTGTTCCATTTTAGATTTTTTGATATTCAAATTTTCATTTTCTTTCGATTTTTCAATTTTTTACTTTTCGCTTTTTCAATTTTTCAATTTTTTAATTGTCCATTTTTCGACTTTTCGATTTTGAGATTTTGATGTTTTGCCTTTCGATATTTCGTTTTTTCTATATTTTGATTTATTTTTCGATTTTTTGAGTTCTCGTGTTTTCGATTGTCAATACCCAAATTTTGAATCTTTTTCGTTTTTTCAAACATTGATTAATCGATTTCTGAATTTGTTTCCTTTTAGATTTCCCGATTTTTCAATTTTTCAATTTCTCAAATTTTCGATTTATCAATTTTTACATTCTTCAGTTTTTTGACTTCAATTTTTTTATTTTTGTGTTACAATTATTAAAATTTTTCATCATTTTTGCTTTTTCAATCTCACGACTTTTGAATTTTTCGACTTTCCGATGTTTCGAATTTTAATAGAATTTTCAATTTTTCCATTCTTAAGTTTTTAGACTTTTCGATATTCACATTTTAATTTTTTTGTTCGATTTTCAATTTTTTCATTCAATTTTTCGCTTTTTCGATTCTTTTCTTTAAGCTTTTCATTTTCACGATTTTTTAATTTTTCGATTGTACAAATTTTTTTTCGAATTTTCAATTTTTTTAATATTGATTTCCCGATTTTTCAATTTTTTGGTTTTTGGATTTTGAGTTTCTCGAATTTTCCGATATTCGATTTTTCAATTTGTTTATTTTTCGACTTTTCAATTTTAGAATTTTCGATTTTTAGATACTTCGTTTTTTTATATTTTGATTCTTTAATTTTCCCGATTCTCAAGCGATTTTTATATTTTTCAGTTTTAGTCTATTTTATTTTTTTTTACTTTTCAATTTTTCCATATAACGTTTTTTTTTTTGTTATTTACGCGAGTGGTTTTTACTTTACAAATAGGTTATCAGAAAACCATAAACGCAAAAACAAATTTTATTATTTATCAAAAAGCCGGGATTTTATTAGGCAGATAATTTCTGAAACTACTGGACAAATTTTGATTTTAGAAATTCACATTTTTCGACATCTAGATTTTGGAATTTTTGATTTTTCCATTTTTAGATTTTCGATTATCGAATTTTCAATTTGGTTCATTTTCGGTTTTTGATTTTTAAAATTTTTGATTTTTCAATTTTCCTATTCTTAAGTTTTTCAACGTAATTTTTTTAACCCTTCGATTTTTCGATATTCAGTTTTTCAGTTTTTCTAATTTTACTTTTTTGAGTTTGGGCCATTTCGATTTCTCGATCTTTTGATGTTTCGATTTCTCAATTTTTAGACTTTTCGGCTTTTCCATTTTTTTCAATTTTTGGACTTTGACCCTTGGATTCTTCAATTTTTCGATTTTTAAATTTTTCGAATTTTCGATTTCAGAATTTTCAATTTTTCGACTTTCGAGTTTTTGATTTTTCGGTTTTTCAATTTTTAGATTTTTAAATTCTCTGTTTTCGGATTTTTCAGATCTACGTTTTTTCAAACTTGATTAATCGATTTCTGAGTTTGTTTCCCTTTAGATTTCCCAATTTTTCAATTTTTCAATTCTTCAATTTTTCAAATTTTCGATTTTTTGATTTCTCGAATTTTCGCTTTTCCACAATCCGAATTTTCGATTTATCAATTTTTAAATTCTTCAGTTTTTTTACTTTTGTGTTACACCTTTTCAATTTTTTAAATTTTTCACTTTTGCTTTCTCAATTTCTCCATTTATTAATTTTTCGACTTTCCGAATTTTCGTTTTTTCAATTTTGGATTTTGCAAATACATATTTTCATTAATCGAATTTTGAATTTTTCGAATTTTCGATTTTATAAATTACAAATTTTCGAATTTTTTGTTTTGGTGTTTCAATTTGTAAATATTCGAATTTTCCGATTTTATACGAATTTCGTTTCCTCGAACATTTCATTAATCGAATTTTCAATTTTTCCATGCTTAAGTCTTTAGACTCGATATTCAAATTTTATTTTCTTTGTTCGATTTTTAGTCTTTCGATTTTTCAATTTATGGATTTTCCGACTTTTCAATGTTGTGACTTTCAATATTTCCATTTTTGAATTTTCGGTTTTCCGATTTGTCGGATTTTCGTTTTTTCGAATACATATTTGATTCATTAAATTTTCAAGTTTTCGATATTCAAATTTTCAATTTCTTTTTCGATTTCCCGATTTTCCAATTCTTGGATTTTTTGAATTTTCAATCTTTCTACTTGTCGATTTTCAACGAATCTTCGATTTTTCGATTTTTATATTTTTCAGTTTTAGTCTATTTTATTTGTTTTACATTTTTGGATTTTTCCATACATGTAACGTTTTTTTTTTTTGTTATTTACGCGACTAGTTTTTACTTTATAGAGATTATCAGAAAACCAAAAACGCAAAATCAAATTTTATTATTTATCAAAGAACCGGAATTTTTTAGACAGATAATTTCTGAAACTACTGGACAAATTGTTGTGAAATTTTAGGTGCACTTAAAAAAATATTTAAAAAACGAAATATTTAATAACGTCATCTCACTTTTTTTTATTAAATTCTATTTAAAATCTGCACAGCAATATTCCAATTTTTCACCTTGCAGGTGTAGGTTTTAAAAAAAATTTGTGTAACACAACTTTACAATTTAACTTAGAAACTACAAGACTGATTGCTCTGAAATTTTTGCCACATTTTAAGGTTATCAAGAGCACGGTGAACGACTAATCAGAATTCATCTACTCATTTATTCCAAAAACTTGCTAACGCCATCTCCAAATTTTGCTAAGTAAATCCTATTTCAAATTTATATTTCTTCTCATCTGAACTAATTTCCACAGTTTTTTTTTAATCCAAAAAAAAAAAACAGTAAAATCCCACTAGTTCACCGCTATAACACCAACACTACATCTATCAAAAAACGAACAAAACGATCTATTAGCAACAACAACCACAACAAACACAGGAACCAAGCAGTAACAGAGCAGTGTTAGAAAACACACCGGTCGAAGCATGTGCGCCGACCGAAGCAGAACGAGATGGACAAAATTGGCATCGTGACAGCCCGGGAAGCTTAGCCCCTTCATCTACACACATAGGTACACCCATTTAGAAAACGTCCCAAATAATTCTCAGGATCAAAAACACACACAACATAAGCTAACTAATGTGGTTACCCTCAAATCCATGAGATATTTTTAAAAAGTTAGTAGTTTTACAGGTCAAACGTGGCACACCTTTGGGGGAAAAACACAAAAACCCACTTACCACGCTGGCGCCACGCCCGCTCTGGCTGGCGATCCCGGGCTGCGGACTCCCCGGCTGGGTCTCTTTGCCCTTGTCGCCGGCGCTCTGGATCACCAGGAAGGGCGGAACGCTCGGATCCGGCACCTCCTTGGTCAGGTTTAGGATGTCGAGCTCGCACTCGTCCTCGAGCCACGCCGGCAGCTCCAGCAGCAGCGAGATGTCCATCTCTTGGATTTCTCGAGGCGTCGCCACCACGATCAAGCCGGAGCTCACCTGAGAAAACGCGGTATGCTTTTTTACTAAATCGGTGGAGGAACTCACTTGGTTGAGGCTGAAAGCGGCTATGGAGTCCTGCTCTTTGTGGATTATGCGGACGGGCTCGGGGGCCGCCGGCTCGGGGTGGGGGAGCTCTTCCTCGAGGGCGCTCAGAGAGCGGCGCTTGCCGAACACGGCTCGGATGAAGATGTCCTGGACCGCCTCTTGGTGGACTAAGTAGGTCCAGAGGCGGCGAGCGGTGCTCGCTGAGCTCTTGTTACTAAATGGAGTGTTGTGGGGCTCGAGGAGTTGGCTATAGAATTATAAATAGAACGACATCTAGCTGTGACAGTTTTAACTAACCGGTATTTTTGGATAGGTGGACCTGTGGTGTTCTCGACGAAACACCCCGGGATATATTCAGGTGGGGCTTGTCTACAATCTAGTTCTTTCTTAAGGCTGTCTTGCCAGTTGGTCAGGCGACGTAAGCAGGCGTGGATTAGGGGGCTCGCTACTGGGAGTTCGTTCATTTCCAGGCCAGCCACCTATAAGAACAAAAATAAGACAAAAGTACTAGATTTGTCGTGAAAGTACCGATAAAAATTCGTTCATTCGTGTTTGTACTATCTTCAATGTTGCCAGTTTTAGCACCAACCAGGAGTACGAGTTCGGGTCTGAATGTTCGTTGTTGACAGTCCGTACTGTGGGAGCTGGCATGTCAAAAACGTCCTCGTCTTCGCTCTCGGAGTCGCTGGAGACTTCGTCACAGTCGGGGCCGGCGATGGGCTACAATATACATAAAAAAATTAGTACAATCAAATTTATTTTTTTAGAAAAAAATATAGGTATACCAGTCACATTGTAAAAAAAAGTGGCCTGTGAGGGGATCAAACCCGTGACGTTTGTGACCGCATATATTTGTGATTCATGAATCTGCCTTAAGATTTTCCCCCAGGCATCAAGAGTTTTACAAAAAAATCAAAATTCATAACGACATTTTATACTAATATAAAAGCAGTGGCGTAAATAGCACCCCCGCAGACCCTGCAATGCGGGGGGGCGCAGCGTCAAAGGGGGCGCAGACCGTAACATAACTGATATATTTTTTTAAAATGTGCAATTTTTAAAGAAGGGGTTTTCATTGGAATTGAAAATGAGATCAGGTAAATTAACTATTTAACGAACAAGTTTGTTAATAAAGGTGATTAATAATCGAGATATTTTAACGTGCGAGGAACGAGTTTTTATATTTTTTCTTTTTCTCAATCTGTTTTCAATTTTTCGATTCTTCAATTTTTGATTTGCAGGTTTTCTAATTTTCATTTTAGATATGTAATAATAATTATAATTTTTATTAGAGTTGTTCACTTTTTTAATTTTTCGTTTTTGGAATTTTTTAATTTTTCGATCTTTGAATGTTAGTTTTTGGACCTTACGAACATTTTTCGATTTAATTCGTTCTTTGATTCATTAATTTTTTCTCGATTTCTAGTTTTTCAATGTTTCTATTTTTCGTTTCTTCAGTTCTACAATTTTGTCAAATAAATGTTATATAAATGAAAAAAAAAGTAACAGTGTACCTATGGTTTATGAGTCCGTGTTGAAGTTTTGTCTTCGACATCGAAATTTTTGTGGAAAAATAAAACAAAATTGAATTACAATTTTTCGATTTCTTGATTTCTCGATTTTTAGTTTACTTAATTTTTCGATATTTCAGTTTTACAATTCTTGCAATTTAAAAAAAAATCATTTTTACATTTCTCAGTTTCTCTATTAATCAATTCTTTGATTTTTCGATTTTTCCTCTTTCCAACTTATCGTTTTTTCAGTTTTTCGATTTCTCAAGTTTACGTTGTGGCAAATTTGGGATTTTTCAATATCTCCAATTTTTTAATTTAAAATTTTTCACTTTTTTGATCTTTCGATTTTTAAAATTTCTGATTTTCCGAATTTTGAATATTTTGATTTATTTTATTTTTTTAAGTTTAAATATGTATTTCAGTTTTAAATTTTCCGGTTTTTCGATTTCTCCATTTCTCGGATCTTTTGATGTCTCAATTTTTTAATTTCGATTTCTCGGCTTTTCCATTTTTCAATTTTTTATTTCTTCAAGTTTTTAGATTTTTAAAATTCTCCATTTTACGACTTTATGTTTTGTTATGCTTCGATCTCCCCATTTTAACCTTTTCAACATGTATTCCAATTTTTCGATTTTAGAATTTTCGATTTCTTACATCTCGATTTTTCGTTTTTTCGATTTTAAAATGTTTTTACTTTTCGTTCTTTGTTTCAAGTTTTCGATTTCTCAATTTTTCAACATTTCAATTTTGAGAATGTCTATATTTTTCAGATTTTTGATATTTTCATTTTTCAACTTTTAAAATTTTTATATGTCGACTTACCGGAAATCGATTTTTGGGTTTTTCAATTTTTCGACTTTTCAGTTTTGAGATTTTTCAATTTTTCGATTTTTTAGTTTTTCATTTCTTCAGTTCTTCGGTTTTTCAAGTTTTCGAATTTTTAAATTTAAAATTTTTCAAATTTCCATTTTATTTGTTTTACGTTCCGATTTCCCGGTTTTAATTTTTTTTATGCTTTTCAATCTTTGGTTTTTCTAAATTTTCATTTTTCCATTTCTCAATTTCTCGATTTTTCGACTTTTTGATTTTGTGTTTTTTTAAATGTTAAATTTTTCGTTATTGTAATTTGAAACTGAAAAATTGAAGAAGCGAAAAATTAAGAAATCGAAAAACCAAAAATTAAAAAAAAAATGAAAAATCAAAAAATACAGAAAATGAAAAATCGGAAAGTAATTGTAAAATTGATTAACAGCAAACGAAAAATGCAGAATTCGAAAAATTGAAATATTAAAAAAAAATGTAAAACCGAAAAATTAAAAAATGGAATAAATGCGAATTAAAAAATTGAGGAAACGAAAAATTGAAAAACCGAAAAAAGAAAAAAACAAACATTGAAAGATCGAATAAATGGAAAATGAATAATAGGAGAAACGAAAATTAAAAATCGAAAAACTGAGAAAAAAAATAGCGAATCGAAAAATCGAAAAAAGTCAAAAATATTTAAAGATAAATTGTTAAATCGAAGAATACAGATATCGAAAAATTGAAAAATCGGAAAATTAAAAAATGGAAAAATTGTAAAATCACAAAATTGAAGAAGCGAAAAATTTAAAAAAATATTTATTGAAGAATTCAAAAGTTGAAACCGTACAATGAAAAATTTATAACTGAAAATTCGAAAAATTGCAAACTGAAAAATTGAAAAATCAAAAACTGAAAAATCAAAAAATGTAGAAACTAAAAAATCGAAAGTAATTGTAAAATTGAATAATAACAAACCAAAAATTTTAAAATCTAGAAATTAAAAATCAAGAAACCGAAAATGTGCAGATCGAACAATCGAGAATTCGAAAAATTTAAAAATTAAAAAACTGAAAATTAAAAAAATTAATAGATCGAATAAATGTAAAATGAATAATTAGAGAAAGGAAAATTAAAAATCGGAAAACTGAGAAACCAAAAAATTGAAAACTTTAAAATCGAAAAATAGAGATATCGAAAAATTGTAAAATTGATTAATAATAAACGAAAAATTTAAAAATCTAGAAATTAAAAATCAAGAAATTGAAAAGGTGCAGGTCGAAAAATCGAAAAACTAAAAGATCGAATAAATGGAAAATGAATAATTGGAGAAACGAAAATTAAAAACGAGAAACCGAGAAACCAAAAAATTGAAAAATCGGAAAATCGAGAAATCGAAATATGTAAAAATCGGTAAACTAAAAAATGGAAAAATTGTAACTTAAAAAATTGAAGACGTGAAAAAATAAGAAACTGAAAAATCAAAAAAAAAGTAAAAACTGAAAATTCATAGAATACAGAAACTGAAAAATCATTTCTCCATTTCTCGGATCTTTTGATGTCTCAATTTTTTAATTTCGATTTCTCGGCTTTTCCATTTTTCAATTTTTTATTTCTTCAAGTTTTTAGATTTTTAAAATTCTCCATTTTACGACTTTATGTTTTGTTATGCTTCGATCTCCCGATTTTAACCTTTTCAACGTGTATTCCAATTTTTCGATTTTAGAATTTTCGATTTCTTACATCTCGATTTTTCGTTTTTTCGATTTTAAAATGTTTTTACTTTTCGTTCTTTGTTTCAAGTTTTCGATTTCTCAATTTTTCAACATTTCAATTTTGAGAATGTCTATATTTTTCAGTTTTTTGATATTTTCATTTTTCAATTTTTAAATTTTTATATTTCGACTTACCGGAAATCGATTTCTGGGTTTTTCAATTTTTCGACTTTTCAGTTTTGAGATTTTTCAATTTGTCGATTTTTTAGTTTTTCATTTCTTCAGTTCTTCGGTTTTTCAAGTTTTCGAATTTTTAAATTTAAAATTTTTCAATTTTTCGATTTTACTTGTTTTACGTTCCGATTTCCCGATTTTAATTTTTTGTATGCTTTTCAATCTTTGGTTTTTCTAAATTTTCATTTTTTTTCATTTTTCCATTTCTCAATTTCTCGATTTTTCGACTTTTTGATTTTGTGTTTTTTTTAATGTTAAATTTTTCGTTATTGTAATTTTTCTATTTTGTAAATTTTAGATATTTAGATTTTTCGACATCTTGAATTCTCGATCTTTTTTCAGTTTGAATTCCTCGGTTTTTCGATTTTCCAAAATTTCGATTTTTCAATCTTTCGACTTTTCAGTTTTGAAAATTTTCGATTTCTCGATTTTTCAGTTTTTGATTTTCCAACTTTTAGATGTTTCAAATTTTAGAGTTTGCAAATTTCACGAGTTTTCAGTTTTTAATTTCGTCAATTTTTCGTGTGGGTTTTTAAGTTTCTTTATTTTTTCAATTTTCGGCTTTCAATTTTCCGTTTTTTTAATTTTGCATTTGAAGTTTTTCTAGTTTTCATTTTAATTATGTTCCACTCCTAATAATTATAATTTTTAAAGTTGTTCACTTTTTCAGTTTTTCGTTTTTGGAATTTTTCAATTTTTCGGTGTTTGAATGTCACAGTTTTTGGACTTTACAATTTTCAAGATTCTATAATTTTTCGATTTTACAATTTTTGGATTTTCCAATTTTTCAATTCGAACATTTAAAGTTCGAAAAATTGAAGAAACGAAAAATGAAAAAAATATTGATTGAAGAATTTAAACATTGAAATTGTACAAATGAAAAATTGCAAAGTCGAAAAATCGGACAATTGAAAAGATCGACTAAATGGAAAATGCATAATTGGAGAAAGAAAAATTAAAAATCGGGAAACTGAGAAACCAAAAAATTTATAAATCGAAAACTTAAAAAGCGTTTTTCTGCACATATTTTGATTCTTGGATTTTTGGAAATCTCGATTTTAGAATTGGTGTTTCAGTTTTTAGATTTTTGAATTTTCGGTTTTCGGATTTGTTTCTTCGAATACATATTTGATCCACTGAATTTTCAATTTTTCGATATTGGAATTGGCAGTTTGATTCTTTTTCGATTTTCCTATTTTTCAATTCTTTGAATTTTCTGGATTTCCTGATTTCTCGGGTGTTCGATTTTTCAGTTTTCATATCTTTCAGTTTCTAGACTTTTCAATTTTTTTACTTTTCGATTCCTCGAATTTTTAATTTTTCCATTCTTCAGTTTTTTGATTTTTCCATATAACGGTTTTTTTTTTGTTATTGACGCCACTGGTTTTTATTGTTATTGTTAAATCGTAAAATAGAGATTTAGAAAAATTGAAAAATCAAAGGATGCAAATCGGAA